AAAAAAAAAAAAAAAGAAAACAATTACAAATGGCAGGGAGGGGTTTGAAACCAGCCCAAGCAGGAAAATCTGTGAGAACCTTATCTCCCCCCCCCCACAAAAAAAAAAAAGAAAAAGAAGTAGTTCAGCCATGCGCTGGTGGCTCATGCCTGTAATCCTAGCTACTCAGGAGGTGAGATCTGAGGGGATCCTGGTTCAAAGCCAGCCCGGGCAGGAAAGTCCGTGAGACTCTTATCTCCAATAAACCACTAGAAAACCGGAAGTTGCGCTGTGGCTCAAGCGGTAGAGCGCTGACCTTGAGCTGAAGAGCGCAGGAACAGCGCCCAAGCCCAGAGTTCAAGCCCCACGACTGACCAAAAAAAAAAAAAAGAAAAGAACTAGTTCAGCTGAGAGGATGGTTGGAACTGGCAGAGACTGTGCTGTTCTTGAGTTGAACCACCATTTCCTCAAACTTAGCATGGAGGTATGTAATAAGCAGATTCCAAGTGAAGCGTGCTTAAGGTTTGGGGCTTCATCCTCTAATGCTCCCTACTGAGATTTCCTTTTTCTGTCCACAGGAAGAACGTGGCCGTTAGCCTTTGGTTCTGGCATGGGACTAGGGATGGCCTACTCCAACTGTCAGCATGATTTCCAGTCTCCATATCTTCTACATGGAAAATATGTAAAAGTATGTATAGAATTGATGTTTCTAAGGGCCTGGGTACTCTCCTTGAGCCTCTCTGTACTCAAGGGAAGCACTCTACCACTTGAGCCACAGCGCCACTTTGGGCCTTTTCTGTTTATGTGGTACTAAAGAATCAAACCCAGGGCTTCATGCATGCTAGGCAAGTATTCCATCACTAAGCCACATTCCCAGCCCATTTCTCTCTCTCTCTCTCTCTCTCTCTTTTGTTGTTGTTGATCTTGGGGCCTAAACTCGGCCTGGGCGCTGTCCCTCAGCTCTTCAGTTCAAGGTTAGCGCTCTATCACTTGAGTCAAAGCGCCACTTCCGGTTTTCTAGTGGTTTATTGGAGATAAGAGTCTCAAGTACTGGGGCTGGGAAGGTGGCTCAGTGGTAGAGCACTTGCCTGGCATGCCTGAGGCCCTGGGTTCGATTCCTCAGCACCACATAAGCAAAAAGAAAAAAAAACGGGAAGTGGTGCTGTGGCTCAAGTGGTAGAGCGCTAGCCTTGAGCTGAAGAGCTGAGGGACAGCGCCCAGGCCCAGAGTTCAGGCCCCAC